AGATCCCCAGCCATGGCACCACGCCTCACTGTGATCCTTCCCTCCTCCTCCTTGAGTCTTGCACTGTCCTTCTTCCAGGACACGGAAGGCTCTGGGTGGCCACGGGGGGGCACGCATTCCATTACCGCTGGCTCCCCCACTGCCACCACCACGTTTCCAGGGGACTGCCGAAAATCATCACGGAGGACTGGAGAGAGAGAGAGAGACAGGGACAGAGACAAAGAGAGAAGGAGAATGAGTGACCAGGAGAATCGATGAATAACTGGGTTAGGACACAAGGGAAGTGTTTTGGGGAGGGGTGTATCACCACAGACCTGCACTCTTCCCCAGGTGCAAAGATACCAGGCCCACTTCCTCCTCTGGCCAGGGCATGGACGTTAGACACCAAAGGTCACGGTCCCAAAAGAAGATGCTGAAAGGGCTGAGACTGGGGCTGGTTCTGGATCGGATGACCTGGTGCCCTCCCGCCTCTGGTTGGAAGCAACCAGAGGACAGTGCGACTCTCACCTGCCACTTCCAGCGACGCATTTCTACTAGCCGCTACTCCCAGGTAGTTGCGCGCCACACAAGTGTAGACACCCTCGTCGGGGCGCGCGCGGCGCCCGTGCACGATGCGCGGGAAGAAGAGGGCGCCGCTGGGCAGCAGCAGGCGGTGCGCGCGCGGATCCTCGCGCGCAGTGGCCACTCGCGCCCCGTTCTTGTACCACTCGATGTTGGGCCGGGGCCGGCCCTCCGCGCGGCAGGGCAGCGTGGCCGGCTCGCCTCGGGAGACCAGCAGATCTGGCGGCTGCTCCACGATGCGCGGCATCGCGTCCTCCGGCTCCACCCTGGATGCTGAAGGCAGGGGGGTTGGCACAGAGCATTTCGACCGGGATATTAGGGGACAGTTTCCAGAGAGAAAAACAACGCTGTCTGCCCACCCTGTCCCCCTTCCCCCTGTAGGGGTCCTCTGGGCAGACACCCCCACGTTCTTGGGCTGGAAAAGATATGCCTGCAGGTGGGCGGATCAGTAGAGGAATCAGGACACAAACTCCTAGGCCGGCTTTCTAGGCTGCCTAAGGACACCAGCCTTCTCTCTGGCCAAGGTTCAGTGGAGAGTGACTAGGCCTTGTCTGGGCAAGTAGACCATCCCTCTAGTCCACGGGTTTTCAATGTCCCACACGGGCTGGTTTGCAGATTGTCCTTGCTCCCTGAAGTGGTGCACCAGAGCCAACCCGCGGTCCTTGGCCTCTGCATGGTGGTGGGCCAGAAAAATGGAGAATGTGGGCCAGCCTAGAGTGTCTTAGAAAAGGTAGAACGAGAGTGCTCTGACTGGAGTCTGGGACTAGGAGAGGTTCTTAAACTGGAGTCCATGAATGGACATAGAGTCTTTGTCTTTTTTATTTGTATTAAGTAAACTCTATGTTCAACTGTGGACTCAAACTCATGACCCGGAGATCAAGAGTTGCATGCTCTGCCAACTGAGCCAGCTAGGTGCCCCTCTTACTGACTCCCCAGACAATCATGCTTGGAGGAACCTGTGAAGTCGGGAATTGAATGAAAATGGTAGTGAAATGTGAATAACTTTCCTTTTCTAAGAGGTGCAGAGTTTTCAACAGATTTTTCTCCAGGTTGATGTAGCCGAGAAAGGCTAAGAATGCTAACTAGGAAGGGGATTCCTCTCCTTCCTTTGTCTCATTGGATCGGGTCACCTGCATTTTCTGTTCCTGCCTCTCACTTGGCCTACAGACTCCTGCTGGCTTCATCTTCTGCAGTTGCTTTGGGATCCAGGATCCTGAAGCCCATTAGGCCAGACACTCCCAACTTTGTCAAAAGTGGATTTGTAACCCGGTGGTGGCCAGTAGGCGCCGCTGCTGCCTCGCCTAATTTGGTGTCCTCCACTAACCGGGACTACCCCTGTTTCTGTTCTCTACCTTACCCTTCCCCCACCTGCGCCCCCTCCCACTCAGTTCCAAAATCCACCGGGACGTGTGGCTCCCGGCCTCGGTGTGGGATTGGGTTTCATGTCCCCACCCCTGCTCTTAGAAGTTCCTATGGAGACAAAGCTGGAAAGGGTCGCCCCATGCTGACATTGTCCTGGGGAAAGTTTATTTAACTGGCTAGGACAAGATCAGTTTCCCTCCCACTAAGGGGAGTAATTTTCTCGATTTCCTTCCTTCCAAATGGAAATCTCTGCTTCTCAGCCGTCTCTTCTCTGGCATCCCAGTCCCAGTTTAGGCAGAGCCCCACGCTGAGCCACGGTAGAGCAACTAAGAGCTCAGGGATTGTCCTGGAACAAAGTGCGGCTGGGATCTCAGATTTGACACTTCCTAGCTATACGAACTTGGGCAAATTACGGAGCTTCTCTGAGTCTCAGTTTGTTTGAAATATGGGAGCAGTGATAGGGTTGTCATAAAACCGTAATATATGTAAGGCACTTGGGGGGAGGCTCAATAAATATGGTAATTCTCTGATTTCTTAGGTGCTCTTCCTCCCTAGCCCACCGGACCTTATGAGATTCTATCAGGCCCCAATATTCCTTTCTGCCCCATCGCATAACCTTAGGGTGTAATGGAAATAGGTTTGTTATCGCTAAGCTTTGTGCTGCTTTTGTGACCACTGGAGTACTTTTCATCTCTGAATTTGTTTCCTCGGTTGCAAAATCAATAACTTCCCTACAGAACTCCTTACATTTTCAAGCGTAAATGAGACAGTGTATGGTGACAACACTGTTAGAACGCTGGGGGGGTACAGAGGTGTGTCTGCGCCATCTGTGAGAAGGGTTCTTCTATCCTTAACCTCCTGGGAAACTGAAGGGGGGCCAGGAATTTGGAGAATTCCAGCTCATTTCCCACCTTCTTCGTCCCTGCTCGCTCATACATACCACACCCTTCTGGTCGGCCCTTTCCCCCTAATTCCTGTAGACACAGCTGCTGGCGCCCTTTCCCTGGAATTTCTTCCCTGTTATTCCCGGTCTCAGGAGATGCTCTGACAGCAGCTAATGAATAGCTAATGATCATGCTAATGAAGCTCTGGGGCTCCTCCCTCAGCACCTGGAGTACCCCCACACAAACACATGCACACTGCCCAGGTCTGCTTTTTCGTCATCTTCGAGTTTCCAGGACCGTGCTGCCCCTGGATTCGAGTGGGTGGATGTCAAGGGATGGGGACTGCGGATGAACCAGAGGGGAAATCCTGGGCAAAGGTGTCCGGGAAAGCGGGAATTCCCGACGCGGCCGGCAGGGGGCGCGATCGGGCCTCTCCCCAGACTCCACTCTGGCCGCCTCCCCGCAGCGCTAGGGGAGAGCGCGCTGTCTCAGTCATTTATTAATCACCGTAATTAGCGGTAACGACCTCGCCGCCCGCGCAGCCCGCCCGCCGCAGTCCTGCCGGGTGGGCCGGCTGTGAGTTCCACCTCTGAGGGGCAAACTTCTAAGTTCCCCAAATGCTCTCCGCTTCTGTCGCCTTCTGTAGCAAACACGTCCAACATTTTAGCTTCCTCACCCAAGTCCTAAGTGAGTTCTTGGGAAACTTAGGGTCCCCAAGAAAAACCTGCTAGCTGGGTGGGTCACCAAGTGGCGCGGCTTGGCCCAGGCCCGCCAGCGACGGCGTGCCCTCTTCTGCCCTCCCTGCCGTGGGTCCCGGCCTCTCTTAGCTCGGTACTTGCCCATCACCAGCCACGGTTCTCCTCACTTGGGGTGGCCGCTGGGGTCGGTTGGGCAGATGGAGAGCAACGGACTTAGTCATCTCCTCCCAAGCCCTGGATCTTCCGCCGATACCCCCACTCAGGTGCTCCAAGCCCCAAATTACCCCTTGGTCCCCCCCAGCCCCCCCCCGAGGAGGCTCTTGGGAGGCTCCGCTTAGTCCCAGATCTTGAGGCAGGAGCGCGTTGGCCTCCCCCTCCACGCGGCCCTCCCACCTTACCCCATCCCTTGATCCGACGTCCTCACTGGGCAGGGTCTTACCGTTGAAAGAAGGATCGCCGGGGGGCAGCAGGCTGTGGTTGAGCGCCGCCACTGAGGAGTTGAAGCCGAAGAGCAGGTCGCTGGAGTTGGAGATGTCCCCCGCCAGGGAGTCCGCGAACAAGTTCATCTGCAGCAGTGTTTTGAGCAGGTAGCGCAGCATGGCGCGACCCAGTTGGGACCGGGGCGGGGGGCTCGGGGCCCAGCCCCTGGGTCTGAGACCCGCGGGCCGGGAGCCGTAAGCCCCTCCACAGCCTCTGCGCGCTGCCCCAGCCACGGTGCCGCTCTCCTGCCGGCGCGCCTGGGTACGGTGCGTGCCTCCGCGTGCCCTCCTCCTTCCCTCGTCCTTCTCTCCACCCCCCAAGTGCCGGGGTCCCCCGGGAGCTGGTCGGGAGGAAAGCAGGTGCCACGCCGATCACGGCGTAATTAAGGGATTAATCCGCCTCCCTCCACTCCCCCATCCCCACCCGGATGGCCACTAGCAGGGCAGAGACTAGAGTCGCGTAGCGCGCGAGTTGGAGTCCCCGCCCCGCGCCCCGCGCCCCGCGTCCTGGGTCGGGGTTCTGGAAGCCGCAGGAGAGTTTCCCTCCTTTCTCAAAGCAGCCAGGATGAGGGAGGAGGCTCTGTCAGACTCTGCCCTTTTGACTGACTTTAAAACAGGAATCCCATCTCTCTTTTACCCGCCCCTAGGCTAAGACCAAGAACGCTCCTCTAGCTCTCAAAGCCCAGGTTTCCATTTCCTCCCAAGTCCCGGGGCTTAGCTGCGAAGTGCTGGAGGCTGAGGTGGTTTGGAGTGGGTGGGGAATAATTGCACGGCGGGTCCACCCCTTTACGCGCAGTCGCCCGTTTTGCAGCCGAGAGACCACGGGACAAGGTGCTGCGTCTTGACCCAGAGTCCTGCTCCAGACGCTCTAATCTAGTAGTACCTGTAGGAGACTCAGCACGGATAAAACTGGAGGGACCAGGCCCTAGGAAACAGAGGCATTCAACATCCATATGCATACCTCTGGCATCTATTTGCATACTTTTGCAGTACCGTGCTCTGACATGATTTATTAAATTGTTATACCTTCTTGAGGAGACTGCAGGCAGATAGTCCAGGACAAAGACAAGGAGAGCAATATTGTTTCTGTAAAGGCAAGCGCAAGAGAAGAGAAGGGCTTGATGCAAAACTCGTGCAAATCCGTTCAAACCCCATAAAGGTTGTCCTTCCAACGGGGAGCAGTGGGGAGCAACTATGATCCCCTCTTCTCCATCCAGCCTGCTTCTGAGTTTTCTGCAGTTCTTTTTACCTGAAGATCTCCTAGTCCCCTGCCACCCACCCACCCGTCCACTCACGCTTGTGCACACGCACTCACTCGCTCACTTTCCTGGAAATAGTGTTGAGGTGTCAAGGGGAGAGAACGACCTGGGCCTACCTATCTGGGGTGAGGCCGTGTGGATGGCTGAGTGGTGGGGCTCTAGCCCAGTCATCAGGCTCTGTATGATGAGACCACCTTCGTGGGGTGGCTGCTTCTGACCCGGGAGGGGCTAGGTGAACAGGTCGAGATCCAGAGAGGTGGATGCTACAGGGTCATAGAGACCACAGTAAGCACATTCAGGAGTTGAAGTATCAGGCAGACACTTTGTCAAAGGGTGGGAGGCTTGTCCCAGAACTCCACCCTCAATCCACACGCCGGTCCCTAGGGCCTCAAACTAACAAACTAACGTGTTTAGGTGTCTCCCTACTCGCCCCCCACCCCCACCCTCGCATTGGCTCTGCGCTGGACTGACTTCGCAAAGCCGGAAGCAAAAGTGTTAGGGGGTTGGGGTGCAGAGACGGCCCGAGGGAGGCAGCGCCCTGGGAGCTGTTCTTTCAGCACCTCGTCTGCCCCTGCTGAACTTGGGGTCTGGCGCCCCACAGACAGCTTAAATGGGAGCCGACCTTGAGGCTGAGATGAGTCGGGGTTGACAGACGAGAGAGGGGCTAGCGACACATTCTCTCTAACGTACCAGGATACTAAAAGATGGGATTTGACGCTGTCCCTTGCTCCAGGGCCAGGCAGCATTCAGGTAGGAGACCGTTAAGGAAGGGATAGGTTTCCCTCACCAGAAATCAACCCGTTCAGGAATGACCCGTCCGGAAGTGCGTTCCAATCCCATATTTGCCAATTGGAAGACATCACTGCTCTGGACTTCAATTTCCTCATCTGATACGGAGAAACTGTACTACTTTCTCTGCTCTGATGCTTCAGATTTCCGGTTCTGAGGCCCTGTGCTCTGCCTCCTGCTGACTGGGGTCACCCAGCTTCCATCACACCAGAGGCTAAGCCAGGACAGAAATCCGGGGTCCTGGCACCTGGCCCTGCTGCGGGGCACGGAGGGCTGCGACAGACAGGAAACTGCGTCCCACCATGTAGCTCCTGCCCCATCCTAATCCCCCGATTTGCTCCCGGTTGGCCTCTCAGCAAACACAGGGCCTGCCAGCGTCTAGGGGCTTGTCACCCTGTTAGCGGATTTGTTCCCGGAGACGGCGCAGTTAATTGGCCCTTTATGTGGGGATCAGGGCGTATTTGCTCAGGGTTCCCTGAGCGGAGGCTGCAATTCAGCCCATGGGCAAGGCTGCTTCCTAATCCCTGTCATCCTGGTTTGGAGGCTGGACAAATAGTGGGGCCACTCTCCTTTCTGGGACTCTCCTGGCCTAAATCTCCTGTTCCTCCGCTACACCTCGCCCCTTCTTGGGATGTTCTTTTTCCTATCCCCACCTTTCTTCTTGTTTCTCTCTGTTCTTTCCTTCTTGGTACTTCTCTGTATCTCTAGAATACTCTCCCTTTAAACAAACTCAGACCTAATGCCAAAAGAAGGCGAGTACTCAACTGGGGGTATACTGGAGAATAAACACCTCCCAAGTTCCCTTCCCTGCCCTGGTGTTCCTAGAGCCCTGGGTCTAGGAGATGGTGAGACAGAGAGAAGACGGAGAAGGCCCAGCAGGGGTCACACCTTCCAGTTCTTTCCTCGGCCCTCTCTTTCCCTTCCTTTCTTAAAGTCAGATGGGCAGCCTGGAAACTGACCCTGCACCTTGTCAAGTCCAGCTTCTCTCTAGGCTGTTCCCAGGCCATTCTAGAAGGAGTTTGCCTCCTATTTGTCTCCTCACTAGCCATGCCTCCCTTCCCACAGAATACCAACACAACTCTGGCTTCTCCCTCTTGCGTAGACAAAGTAACTCCCTGCATCTACCTCCATTTCCTTACCTGTAGGCTGTAGGTGCTCCTGTAGCACCTAAAACACTCTGAATGTGTGCACTGAAATCGGGGAGCCCTTGTGTGGGGGTCCATTCAGTTGATTTATAAGTTTCCACCTTGGATTGAAGAAAGAATCAGAGTTCAGGGTCCCTCTCTTCTACTGCCTCAGGAGACTACTTCTTTTCCAGAGTCTTATCAATAAAACAGTCTGCACTTTAAAAAGGGTAAGGAAGAGAAAAGGGGGTTTGGAAGTTGGCAGAAAGAAGAGCGAGTAGCCCCAGGCAGGGAGGATGGGGAAAGTTTGTTCTGCTAGGGTTATGGCATCTAGGGGAAAGAAGTGTGTGTGTGTGTGTGTGTGTGTGTTGAGGGAGAGAATAGTTACCCCAGGCCAACTTCCTCGGCCTAGTGCCAGCACACAGGCCAGAGAATGTGGCAGGGAATTTTCAGGGACCAAGCTGGGGACTGTATGGGAGGCTTCTTGGTGGTCCCAAGCCTGCAAGCCAGCTGGTGGTGGATGAAGCTGCTGACATGTAATTGCCCAGGAGGGCAGTCTGAGGACAACCCCCCATCTCACACTGATTACTGCCGCTGTCTGTCTCCCCAGTGCTTGCACACGCACCCCCGCCCCGCCCCCATACACCGCCCAGCCCATTTACATCCCCCTAGAGCCTGGAGCCTCCTATTACTCTCTCTGCCTGGACCCCTTCCCAGGGCACTGGTACACATTGAGCATATGTGTGTGTTTTGGGGGTGGAGGGGCAAGGAACTAACATCTGTCCCCCAACCCCACTAGGCTATGCCTGTGAATGACCCAGCAGGGTTGCTGGCTTCAGAGTGATGATGCCAGGGGGCAGTGACCCAGCCGGCAGGGGCCAGAGGGCCAAAAGGGAGGGGGGATCAGAGAGCAAAGAGCAGACACCTGGCTGGAAAGCGGACAGCAGGAGCCTGCCCCCGGCAGGAGCCAGGGATTGTTGGCTCAACCCCTGTAGCTGCTGAGATAATAAGCCAGGGCCCCCTGCCCAAGAGTACCCCTTGCCCCACAGGGTTCCAGTGGAGGAGCCTGCGGGGAGACACTTTGCAACACACTCCATCAAGTCTTGAAATCTGGAGGCAACTGGGCAGAAATATCCAGACCCCAGTACAGATGGAACAAGGGCTAGAGGAGAAAGAGCTTTCCGGGGTCCTTTTATAAAACTTGGTACAGAGCAAGCACTCCATAATGACTGGTTTTGTGAATACATCTGATGAACTAGTTAGTCCTCACAACTGCCCCCTCAGAGCCCCCTAGCTTCTCTGCCTCCCCCCTACTCTCCTTAAATTCATTTCCCAGGGCTACTGTTACAAAGTACCACAAACTAGTTGGCCTCACAGAGCAGAAATTTATTCTCTCCCAGTGCCGGAGTCTAGAAGTCTGAAGCCAATGTGTGAACAGGGCTATGTGCTGTCGGAAGGCTTTAGGGGAAATCCTTCCTTGCCTCTTCCAGCCTCTGGTGGGTGCTGGCAGTCCTTGGCATTGCTTGGCTTGCACATCCATCACTCCAATCCCTGCCTCCATCCTCACATGGCATTCTTCCCTGTATGCCTGTATGTGTGTGTGTCTTATAAGGACAGCAGTCACTGAGTTAGGGTCTACACCAATACAGTGTGATCTCTTCTTAAACTAATTCTCTCTCCAAAGATCCTATTTCCAAATAAGGTCACATTCCGAAGTTCCAGGGGGATACGAATTTGGGGAGATACAATTCAACCCAATATGCTTTCTTTTCCTGTTTTTCTTCCCTGCTTCCCCCTCTATTATTCCTGGTGCTCTCCTAGAGGCCCTATTTTGCTGGTTTTGAAAATAGTTTTGTTGTTATAGGCATAATACATATACAAGCAAACACAAGCAAAAATACCCAAGCAGAATAAGAGAGTATAAGATGAATAGTCAAAGTCCCCACCA